GGACTTCTTTCTGACCACTCATAAAATGTAGATTCCGAAAAAAGATGGCTGCTCCATTAGTACGCGTTTTTATTATGGATTTTGACTGCATTTATAAATTCAAATATATTTTATAGATAACATGCGGGAAAGTATTTTTTCTTGTACTCGTTTGGTAGAAAAGCTACGCGTTCTTTAAATTTTCTTACTTAAAGAAGGGATATCCTTCGGTTTTGGAAGAATTTCTGATTTTTAGATTTTTTACGATTGGGAAGTTTTCATTCATAACACATCATATCCGTCAATTTATTAATGCAGCCTATAACGTATGCAGCATGATCCACATATATTGCAAGATTTTATGAGAACAATGCGACAACTTCCTCAAACCATAGACAGACACGTTTTTTTCTTAAACAGAGTGTACACTGCATGGTGTTTGGAAACCTTGATTTCAGATGTAGCAGTTGGCAAATTTCAAAATGATTTGACAATTAAGAATACTTTTTTTTAAAACCGCAGGGTACGTTTGTGTAAATTGCTGCCAAGCGACCGACATTGCCGTTCCTGGATTATTTGTCGCTTTAAGCCGGTCAAACTCTGCACCTTGAAGATTCAAGATTCGAACTGGGCTAGTTACTTTGTCGCGTGAACCACCATCTCATCTTCCATCACAAGTGTATGGGTGAATATGCGAGTCCCAGGTACGTGTTGCAAAGAACGTGCGGCCCATTTTGCGGTCTCTGCACACTTGGATCGACAATTCGACCATCGTTTCCAACGAGGGTCTAGCGTGGGCCCCTCAGCAAGATCAGGCGCAGGGACAATTATATCGGCGTGAATTCTTCTATAATGATAGTAGACCTACGCAGTATCTGTCGCACTAAATCACCCCCTCCCCCTCCTTGCCTGGGATCTGGTATAAAAACAGCCAAGCTGGCCGGAAGCGGATCCGCGCATGTGGCTGGCGTGGCGAAGCCTGCTCCTGAGCTTGCCATCCACCTCCCCCCATGTGCGACATTTGTCACGGCCGCTCATTCCCGATATTGTTTACCCCGCCCTGATCTGGTCTCCGTCTTGATCTACCGCATAGACCCCTTCTAGGGAGCACACCTAGACTTGTATCCAGCCCCGCCACGGAAGCAGTCTCATCCCTTCCTACATTGTCTAACTACATATCTGGTTCAGAATTTGTTGCACTCATACTTGCTATTAGTGGGCACCTCTACGGGTCCGAAAAATTTCGTTCCAATGATTGCACGTTCTTAGGCTTTGTGGCGGTCATGAATATTCAGTGTCACTTGAGGTTGGTTGTAGCTGCCTGAAAGTGGCAAATGTACTGTAGAGGACCATTCCAGTCTCCTTATTCATTGTGCGCGATCGGGCTGAAAGTTATATGAGTTGGATTTGCGTTTTTTCTGCCGGAAAAGCCATCCCAACGACTCCCTCGTGCATATTGTCGTCCAATCATAAAAAACCGTCCTTTCTACCTAGGTTAATTATACCGACTTATTGCTGCTACAAGGTCATATATAGGGAGAAAAAGAGGGGAAGGGGCGGGATGATGACTGACTGTCTGTCTTCATGTGGGGCATGGTGCTAGAAAATTTGACTTTTCTTTTCAACTAGTTATTGCAGACCTTTGGACGGCGGCGAGAAGTTATTGCATCGTGAATAAACCTATAGTGCTTGGAAGTACATGCAATCCTCCCCTCTCGCTTCCTGGCCGGTTATTGGGTCATTTAATTAAATTATCCATAGCCTTTAAAGCTAACATCAATTTCCACAGCATCACACAGCTTTTACCGTTACGAAGGATAGAGCACTTCTATCCCGACTGGATGAAGAGTGAGAGAGAGAGAGAGGGGTACGCTCTTATTTTGAAAATATAATTGCAAAGTTTTCAACAAAAACCTCCATTCACCATGAATAAAATAAGTCATAAAAACCGAACATCACCCCGAGAGACCACAAACAACGCACAGTAGCCGAAGACTGCAATTGCCAAAATCATAAATGACCGTCCTTAATGGAGTTTAGAATGTAGGCTAAGTGGGACTTCCCTAAAAACGCTGCACTAATGCCTCGCTATTTTCGTTCGAATAATCAAAGAGGAGGGGTAAAACTAGGTTTATAATGCGCGCAATAGACCAACAGAGATGTAGGAAATTTAGGTGCTAATTGAAAGCAAAAAAATGGCGGCTCAGTTTAAAAAGTCTGCACGAAGTGGCGTTCAGCCCCATCTGTTAGTGGGCCGTATCCGATGTGCCAATTATGCCTCAACGTTCAACCATCTGCTTCAGACCAAACATTCGTTAGTTGAGCTACTGCCATCCCTCATTTGCATCTTCTGGCCTTTACTTCATACCGCGTCCCACTGCCACCCCGGCCCTAATCAGCCCGCAAGCACGCTCTCGTTTAGGACTTACCTATTCTGGATTTACGAAAATTTCAGAAGATAAATTCTCCTCAGGCCGAGAGTGATCTACAGGGTGCCCTCAAGCTATTAAAACTTCCTTGGATAATTTCTGTTGGCTATGGCAGAAGCGTCGACCGGTCCTGTGCGCCCAAAAGAACTTCGTCGCGGCGCCGCAGTTGCTATGACCGAAAGCCGCTAATCCAACAGTCCGCAGCTTATCACCTCTCGCGGCT